CAGGGAACGATCCCCCCGACACCCCACGCAAACCCACGCTCCCCTGGCACTCACTCTCCCGCGCCCTCCTGCTTGGCCGCCTCCTCCGTGGCGGCGGCCGCGGCGTCGGCGCCGCCGTCCTGCGCGCCGGGCGCGGCGCCGCCCTGGCCCTGCTCCTCGGCCGCGGCCGCGCCGGCTCCGTCCGTGTCCCCCGCGGCCGCGGCCGGGGCCGGGTCCGCCTCGGGAGCGGCTCCCGCCGGAGCGGCCGCGGCGCCGTCGGCCGCCGGAGCCGCGCTCGCGGCGTCCCCGGCCGCGGCCGAGGCGGCCGCCGCATCCTCCGGCTTCGTGCTGGGGAGGAAAGCAACAGCGGTCACCCCAGCTTGAGTAAATGCCAAATTAGATATTGGTAGTTAAAGGTAGAGGTGTGTTAATTGTTGTAAAAAACTTGAATAAATCACCGGCCTTGAGGAGCTTAGGGATGAGGGGGAAGCGGGGAATGAGGGGTTCAGGGTGAGGGAAAGACTCGGAAAAGGTTTATAGGCACTCAGGGAAAAGGGTGAAAGACCCTCAGGGAAAAGGGCTTGAAGAGACTCAGGGAAAAAAGGGATCTGAAGGTTCCCAGGAAAAAAAGGGAGCTGAAGGCTCCTAGGAAAAAAAGGGATCTGAAGAGCCTCAGGAGAAAAAGGGGCTTGAAGAGCCTTGGAGGAAAAAAAGGGATGAAGAGCCTTAGGAAAAAAAGGGATCTGAAGGCTCCCAGGAAAAAAAGGGTTGAAGGTCTTCAGGAAAAAAAGGAGCTGAGGGACCTCAGGAAAAAAAGGGATTTGAAGGCTCCCGGGAAAAAAAGGGTTGAAGATCCTCAGGAGAAAAAGGGCTTGAAGAGCCTCAGGAACTAAAAGGATCTGAAGGCTGCCAGGAAGAAAAGGCTTGAAGATCCTCAGGAAAAAAAAGGGTTGAAGATCCTCAGGAAAAAAGAGATCTGAAGGCTCCCAGGAAAAAAATGAGCTGAAGGCTCCCAAGAAAAAAAGGGTTGAAGATCCTCAGGAAAACAGGGTTGAAGATCCTCAGGAGAGAAAGGGCTTGAAGACCCTCAGGAAAAAAGGGACCTGAAGGCTCCCAGGAAAAAAAGGAGCTGAAGGCTCCCAAGAAAAAAAACGGTTGAAGATCCTCAGGGAAAAAAAAGGCTGAAGATCCTCAGGAGAAAAAGGGTTGAAAAGCCTCAGGAAAAAAAGGATCTGAAGGCCCCCAAGAAAAATGTGTTGAAGATCCTCAGGAAAAAAAGGGTTGAAGATCCTCAGGAGAAAAAGGGTTGAAGATCCTCAGGAGAAAAAGGGTTGAAGATCCTCAGGAAAAAAAAGGGCTTGAAGGAATCCAAGAAAAATGGGTTGAAGATCCTCAGGAGAAAAAAGGGTTGAAGGTCCTCAAGAGAAAAAGGGCTTGAAGAGTCTCACGAAAAAAAGGGCTTGAAGAACCTCAGGAAAAAAGGGTTTAAAGGATCCCAAGAAGGGGTTGAAGCCCACCAGGAAAAAAAGGGGTTGAAGACCCCCAGGAAAAGTTCAAAGACCCTCAGGAAAAAGGTTTAAACTTCCTCAGGAAAGTTTTAAGATCCCCAGTAAAGGCTTAAAGGCCCTCAGAAAAAGTCTGAAGGCCCTCAGGACAAGATTAGCATAATATTAAAAATGTACCTGTTTTCTTCAGCTTTAATCATTGCTAGAGGAAAAAAGGAGAAAAACAATTAAAATACAGATTTGTAATAGTCCATATAAACAGGGAGTTCTGGTAATTCTTGATTTAATAAAAGAGAAGTTTTAAATGTTTTTGTTACTATCAAAAATGTTAATGTTTGTGTCCTTCAAAGACTGAAATCAATCAAGATTAAAATAAAGTTTAGAAATGCCATGATAGGAAGATTGGGGAATATAAAAATGACAGGTTTAAAATAATTCTTTTAATTCATAAAAAGGTAGTTCAAAACACAGAAAGAAAGTCAAGATTATTAAACAGAATTTGAAGGAAGGAAATATTTAAACTACTGCTGCCTATTCTTTTTTTTTTCCCACAATTATTCTTTTCCCCCAGCTGATTTTCTTACTATTTACAACAATAATACAATTAATTAATAGATATTTATAAAAACACAAGTCCAGCAGCCTTTTACCTTCAAGATCCTCCAGCTCTTTGGGTTTTGCCCAGCGGGATTCCTTTGTTTGGGAATTGTAATAATAAGGCTTCCCAGAATCTGATTTATACTCCTTCCAGGGACACTTGGACAACAATTGCTGACAGAGAGAAAACAGATTTTCCAAGGAAAATCTTTAGTAATTCCTTAAATAAGCAATTAAGAACAACATTAAGTAGGATAATTATGGGGCAGAAGACTTTTGGTGTATTAAAGTTGCATTCCTGGAGCTTTTTCTTCCTGAAATTTCTTCCCATTAAGAAAAAAAAAAAGCAACAAAATTCCAAATTTTCCCATTTTTTTCCTTGTGGATTTAGCTTTGCTTAACGTTTATTTTCAGTTCTCAGCTACAAACTTCATATATTCCTCAGGAAAACAGAAGGATTGGCTAAGAAGTGAAAATAAATCACACTGGATCTATTTGATTTTATACCCAACAAGAATAAACCAGGGGAATTCTCAGGAATTTGTTGTGTATTTTAAGAGCATTAATTTGACCAAAATAGCAATTCTTAGGCGTTTTTTTTCCTTCTCTTAATTATTTGTCTATTACTTCTCTAAAAAAAGTGAAAATAAATCACATTGGATCAATTTGATTTGATATTATCCAACAAGAATAAATAAGGGGAGTTTTCAGGAATTTGCTATGTATTTTAAGAGCACTAATTTGACCAAAATAGCAATTTTTAGGCTTTTTTTTTTCTTCTCTTAATTATTTCTCTATTACTTCTCTAAAAATAGTGAAAATAAATCACAATGGATCAATTTTATTTGATATTCTCCAACAAGAATAAACCAGGGGAGTTCTCAGGAATTTGTTGTGTATTTTAAGAGCATTAATTTGACCAAAATGGCAAATCTTAGACGTTTTTTTCTTCTCTTAATTATTTCTCCATTACTTCGCTAAGTAATAAAAGTGACACATTTTTAATTTAAAAAAACTATTTAAAAATTAGGAAAATTGAGGAATTTTGGCCACTTTCCACCCTCAGGTTCTCCCAGCGTAAGGAGAAAAATCCAAGTATTTTAGGAACGCTTCTTATTGGAAGAGTTTGCTCCCGTTGCTTCCAGCAGAACTCTCCCTGCTGCAGTTTGGAAATCCCTGTGTTGCCCCAAAATCCCAGAAGGAATTTGGGATTTGGTTACCTCAGCAGGGGTTTTGAGGTCATCTGGCTTCTCCCACGTGGACTGCTTGGTCTCGGTGTTGTAGTAATAAGTTCTTCCATCCGGGGACTTGTGCTCCGTCCACGTGGATTTCTGGGAACGTTCCAAGGGGAATTAGTAACGGTGTGAAAAACGGGATGGAATTCCAGAAAAACAGAGGGATACAAACCTGCTTGGAGTGCTCCTCGCCGGCAGAGCTGCTGCTGGTGGAGCTCTGCTGGACTGTGGACACCACGGGATGTGTTGTCTGAGGAGGAGACAAAGCAGGCCTTGGGAAATTAATTTCACCCCAATATCCTGGATTTTCCAGCAGCACAGGGAGCCAAATTCACACATGAAGTCAGTATTTTGCCCAAAAACCTCCTTTTTTTGGGAGCGGGGCTGCTCATTTGCACATTCCCAAGGGCCTGATTCCCACCAGGAATCAGTGCAAGTGAAGGGTCAGAATACAACGAGCCCAAGCCACAATTCCAGCAGCACTCCCTGTTCCCAAATCTTGAGGAAAATTTGCTTCAGTGGCTCCCTGAGCTCGCTCACACCACACTTCTGCTGCTTTCCGTGGCCACTTTTCCCAGGAATTCCCTGGAATCGTCTGCATCCACTTACTGTGGATCCGGGATTGGATGTGGCCATGGAAAACTGGATTTCCTGACAGGCCAATGGGCAGGATGGAAATCTCATGGAAATAATGTGGATAGCATCTATTCCATAATAATTAATTTAATAAAAGAATCTATTAATTAATAACTGGGACAAGGCCCACAGATTTCAAAGAACAACCAAAAATTTGGAAAAATGCAGGGGAAAAGAGGGAGAGGGAAAAAGAAAAGGAGGAAAAACCTGAATTAAGCTTTTCCTTGAAATCCCTAAAGCCAAGTTTGCCCCACACACCACACTGGAATTCCAACCTTCTGGAACTGTGCTTTCCACATACCTGAGTCCCAGGAGGGGTCACTCCTGAAAAATAAATAATTAAAAGTTAATTAAAGGTCTGGTGGCTTCATTTTTTCTAAAAATTCCACCATGTGTGCAAAGAAAAAAAACGTCCTGGGCACCAATGGAGATTCCAGGACTGAAATGCCCCACTCCATTTTAGAGAAAAGTGGAATTTTTTTAATGTTTCAGCTGACTTTGGTTAAATATTTTGAAATCATATCAATTTGTTTACTCACCTACTTGTGCATCCATGCTGTTCACTCCTGGCTGTAAAAATAATTAGATTAAAACAATTAAATGTTTAGACAAAAAAAAATTTAAATAATTAATTCCCAAGGAATTAAGTCCTAAAATAAATCCAATATTCATTATCCAAACAAGGCCTTTCTGCCACAAAAGGCTAATTCCTTAAATAAGGATTCCTGCTTCCCTCTTAATTATTCCTGCTCCTTAAATAAGCAATTAGGAACAACATTAAGTGGGATAATTATGGGGCACAAAGCTTTGGGTGTATTAAAGTTGCATTCCTGGAGCTCTTCCAGTAAAGGAAAAAAAAAAAATCAACAAAATTCCAAGTTTTCCCATTTTTGCCTTGTGGATTTAGCTTTGGTTAAGGTTTCTTTCCAGCTCTCGGCTACAAACATCAAATATTCCTCAGGAAACCAGAAAACTTGGTTAAAAAGTGAAAATAAATCACACTGGATATATTTGATTTGATATTATCCAACAGGAATAAACCAGGAAATTTCCAGGAATTTGTTGTTTGTTTTAAGAGCATTAATTTGACCAAAATAATAATTTCTAGGAATTTTTAATGTATTTTAAGAGCATTCATCTGACCAAAATACTGATTTTTAGGAATTTCTCTGTTTCTAATCAGCACAGCAAAGGTTTGTGCTCAGCACTACAAGAAATTCCATAGGAATTTAGAGATTTAAATCTGCACAGGAAAAGGAAACATAAAAATAATTTATTTCTAAATTGAAATGGCTGGAACTGGTTTTAAATCAAACTCCTAGGCTCAGACTAAATTTATTTCTTAAGAACAGGATTTAATATAATTTTTTTCCCCTCAGAGATTTCACCTGTATTTTAACTTTTCCCTCTCCATTTCCACCCAAAGAATTTCTCATTCCTTGAGCCATTCCAGAAATTTTTATACTCAGCTGAATTTTGGGAACTTTTAATTAAAAAATCTCTTTCTAATGGATTCAAATCTCTTTAATATTGAATTACAACTCTTAAAAAAATACAATTTAAGAGAAAAGAATCTCTTGGTCAGACAATTTAACAATCCAAGGTCACAGTGATTCCTGCCAAACTCCAGGAAGTGAAGGGTAAGGAATGAAAGGAAAACTAAAAGGAAAATCACAAAAATCTTATTTTACAATCATTCGAGACCTACATAAAACTCCACTGTAATGAAAAATACATTTAAAATTGAAATTCTTATTTTCTAATTAAAGAAAGCAAAGAGTGATCAACAGCAACTGCTAAAATAAGCTTTTAAAAACTAAAAAAAAACTTTAAAAAAAGCAATGAAACTCACAGGAACCGTGGGCTGCATGGCAGCCTGGGACATGTGGGACATCATCATTCCAGGCATCACCGACTGCATCATTCCAGGCATCTGGAATTCAAGAGCATTTCCCATCCATTTTATCATGTTCTCAACACAAAATACAGTATTTCTATTTAAAAGCCATTATTTGATACTTCTTTTTAAATAAAAAAACAAAACAAAACAACCCAAACATCCCTCTTAGGCACGGAAAAATAAATGAGATTTGTGGGATTGTGATTCCTTTCATCCCATTCCCACTAAATTGGGATATTCCTATAGGAATGGCGTGTCCAGATTCCAAAGTTGGGTAAGAAACAACAAAAAAACCCATTTGAACTCCAAAGGAGCAAGAGCAGATGATGTGGGATGTGATTCCATTCCTGAAATCCTGAGAAAGCAGGAAAGGCAAATTGGGAATGATTCCTGCAGAACTCCAAGGCCACGGGGAACAAAGGAGAGGAGAACTCCCAGGTGTGACATTTACCTTCAGCTTTTTGCTCTCCACCAACCAAAAAGTCCTGAGTGCCTCCCTAAAATATGAAATATTGAAATATTCCCTGGCTAAGAGTGGGAATTGTGGAAAAGGAGGTACAAAAAAAAAGCAGAGAAATAAACCAGATTTTCGCCTTCACTTCCTAATGAGCACATGCAGTGCTAATGAGTCAAAACTCTCAGGTTTTTTTAAATTTTTTTTTATTTTTACCCCAGAACTGCAAACCCCTACTGAAAAAATTCCCACCAAGCCTTTGCTGACCAGTTTGAGGAAAATATGGATGCTGTGTCCAAGGAATTGCAAAGGAAGAGGAGTTGTCAGCACCTTTGGGTTTTTCCCCATCCAAAAAAAACAGGACACAGGGATTGTAAACCAACCTCTAGGATTCCAACAGGAATTCTGCAAAAAAAA